TGAGACGCCGGCGTCCTGCGTGCACGCGCGGCCCCGTAGCCGTCTCGGGCGCGCCTAGACCTGTGGAGCTTCTAAGCGCTAAATACGTTCCTGGCGAAACTCAGCGGCTCTGAAGTGCCGCTCGGTAGGTGAGGAGGAAATCTGGACCGAACTCTCAGGGGCTTGTCATTTAAGCCATTCCGGGTTCACGGCCCCGAGTCAGCCCGGCTCCTTGCTGCCTTTTCAGCTGCACTCGACCCACCTTGTTTCGTCCCCTATGAGTGTTTTAATGATAAAGTTTTTCGTTTGATTTGAACACAGGCCCAGTGCTAAGGATGTAAAACATTCTTTTGACTTTTTTTTGGCGGGGTGGGGTGGGGTTGAGAGCTGGAGGAAGAGTACATGGAATCTGCGAAGTCTTTCTGCTCCTCGGACCCACTTCCTTGGATTCGGCCAATTTCACGTAAATTACAAAAAAAAGAAAAAAAAAGAAATCCTCGCTAAACTTTAGTTCTGGAGTCTAAAAAGTAGTAAGAACTATTGCTTCTGCAAAAACGGTAACTCTCCATGTAGAAATCAGAAACACTTTTTTGCAGAAGGACATTTGTAGGAAAGAGTATTCTCACAAAGAGCGAGCTAAACAAAGGGATCTTGTTCCATCCAGTCGGAGGGTTTTTTAAAATGGAAGAGAAAGGTCAGATTGGAGAAGTTGAGTGTATTACCTGCAGGAAAGTTTTGCGCTTGCTTTTTTTCTTTTTCTGCTTCTTTTGTTTCTTATCTTTCCTGTATTTTTCGTTTCTTTTAGGTTTGTTTTTTAACCAAGTGATATGCTGTGGTCATTCCCGGATGCGATTATTTATTCTGTCGTTTTATAATTGAATGGTCACTTCACCAAGCATTTTATTGAATTCTGGGGTGTTCAGGGGTTGCTTTCAGAGTAGACTCAAGTAAGGTACATAAATAATATTACTCCATATTCTTTATCATTCAAAAACATTTAAATATCCTTTTGGGGCAGCAACATGAAGAAAACATTTTAAGTAGGAATGGACATGTAAGAGCTTTGTCCATTATGTGAAGCAGCTATTAACATTATTGTACTCATTTTTAAAAATTACTTACTGTTGTTTTAATAGTCTTTGAAAAAGCAGGTGAATTGTTCAACTTGATTATAATCAGGATTATAATTTCACAGTTGGCTTGTCCAAGTTCTTGGTTGTGCGGTTTGGAGAACTTGATCGTGAACTTCTGAAATAGTTATACAAGACTCCAGTGTCTTAAGAAATCATATATCAAGAAGAAGTTCTGTAATTTGTAAGCAAAGACTAATGTTAATAGCTTTAAAAATATATATCTAAAATTGGCCATCGTGGCTGATAACTCAGATGGCCTAAGTCATCTATATGGATCCATAGTAAAAGTCAAGTGATGCCACATTATCATTTCACAAGTAATATTTGTATTGAAAAGATCCCAGAGGAAGGATTTTCAATAAATTAAGAGAACTGTCTAAAAGATTTAGAAATGAAATTTGAACTAGAATACTGGAATATGGCAGAGAGGATCATACTGCCCTAAAGTGAAATATTGTTGAGTTTAATTACCCGGGATTATTGGAAAATATTTTTTAAGTACTTAAACAGAAGTGATCAAGTTATTTGTAACATTACTTATAAGCGGTGGCCTGGATCTTAACATACTTCCTTTATCTCTCCAAATTCAGTGGATCTTTATTTAAAACAGAGGTGCAGTATTGCATGCATTTTTTTTTTTATCCTCACCTGAGGATATTTTTTCCACTGCTTTTCAGAGAGAGTGAAGGGGAAGGGAGGGAGAGAAACATTGAGGTGAGAGAGACACATCAACTGGTTGCTTCCCGTATGTACGTGCCACGACTGGGGCCAGGGATTGAGCCTGCAACTGAGGTACGTGCCCTTGGCCGGAATAGAATCTGGGACCCTTCAGCCTGCGGGCAAACGCTCTAACCACCGAACCAAACCAGCTAGGGCCATAGATTATCTTTAATCTCTCTTTGAGCTGTGCTGCATTATTCCCAGTGTACAGAGGAGGAAATGGAGACAAGTTAATGACATCCCTTGTCTGCAGTTTCATAGCTAATGAGTTGTAGAATCAGGATTTGAAACCAAGTTGTCCATTCTGCACCATCTACATGCTGTGTGTGTTGATGATTAGTTTACAGATTGCCTAGTATGTGGGGGTGGATTCCTTTATACCTTAGGAACTTTATTGCTTTTTGACTGAAGGCACACTTTCAAGTTTGCACATGCTTGATATTTCTGCAAGCATTGCAAAATAGGTAGCATGTTTTAGAATCAAGTAGGTCAGGATTTTCTTCAGATTTGCAACCATGAGTCTTGCTGCTGCCTGAGAAAACATTGAAAAGGTATTCATAAGAAAGCAAAGGTTTGACTGTTGTCAATATGGCTGGACCTGACCTTAATGATATTTTCTGTTTATCACTCGCATTCTCAAATGGATTTAGCGACTTTTTGGAGGTCCAGCATGGTAAATGTAATGTGTTTCATGTTGACAGGAAAGTAGTATACCTGTTTTTGCTAGTGAGCTGATGTTGATCACAGTAGTGGTTTGAGTTTTTTAAAAAGCTGTCCTCCCCCCCAACCACCAAAAAAAGGCAGGACAGGTAGAGGAGGGCAGAGAAACAAATAGACTTAGTCATAAAAATTCTGAAAGATATTTCATTCTGTACTTCATCTCTGAAAAGAGTCCATGGGCCTAAATGGTATGAGCTTTCCAGATTGGAGTTAGCAGGGCACCCTTAAAGCACTAGTGCTAGAACTGTGTAAGAAGCACCAGATGCAGCTGGAGAATCAGACCTAAAAGCATGTCTTGCCTGGCCGGAGTGGCTCAGTTGGTTGCTGGTTTGATTCCCAGTCAGAGCGCATACCTGGGTTGCAGGTTCGATCCCCAGTTGGGGCATGTGCAGAGGGCAGCCGATGGATTTTTCTCTCTTTCTCTCCCCCCCTTTTCTCTTTCTCTCTCTCTCTCTCCCTTGCCTTGCCCTCTCTAAGTATGCCCTCTGGTGAGTATTAAAAAAAATAAAAGCATGTCTTATCCCTACTTGGAGAAAAAAAAGAGGAAGGTTTCCTGGAATTAGAAATTCAGCCTCTGTACTCTGAACTAGAATATCTTCCCCCCCACACACCCTCCCACCAGTC